AGGTATGACTGACGGAAAGGTCTGTCACCGCCCCGAGCTGCATGCTGCAGCGAAGTGTACCTCCAGCCACCAGACACGGCTGTTCCTCCGGAGGGAGACGGAGGCTGAGGAGCGGTCATCATGTCGGGGAAGGACGGCGTTATGTGGACCTTCTTCCCGCTTCTGCTGCTCGCCTTWCTGCGCCCCAGTGCCGGAGCAGCCCTCACACAGGTAAGCTGCCCGCTGACGGTTTGTGGAGACATTTCTGAACGATACAAGAGAACGAGCATGACGTCATTTTAATTGCCTCTAATCATGGCACTGCGTTGCGTACATAAATAAAGCAGCTAAAACTAACCTACATAAAAACTGTGTCTTAAATATTCTGGTTAAATTAACCTATAAGATATTTAATGCGTAGGCTATTTTATGGCATTCATTTCGTTGTTTACAACATTTCAGATGTTACATTTAGACTTTTTTTGTCCCTATTTCAAATATGAGAATGTTATTGTTAAATTTACATTTCAGTTTTCCCTGTCAGGCTGTGGTAAATGTTTAACCTACACTTATACTTGTTTRCCCCCTTCAACCCATAGAGGCCTAATGTAAACAAAGTGTTTTGGTCTTAATCATTTATCAGCTGCAACCTTTACTYCTTATTGAATAATCAGAGGTTTGTTGTTACAGGTTGAGTTTTCTTTTGGAGCAACCTTTTGTTGACACTTAGTGTTTTGTTTACAGTGGGGCAGGTAGTAGAAACACCTACTGATCCGTAAAGAAATGTGGGGGAACCAGGAGAACTCTGGTCTTTAGTGTCTGCAGGTCTCAGTGGGTCAACAAGCCTCTGGTATTTGCACTGAAGACAGGACAGATAGTAGAGATTACATGTTGTTAATTTGGATTTGTATGTAAAAATTAACCCCAAAGTTTTTCATCAAGCCTGGGATGCCCAGCTGAAGTTTCAAGTGTACATTTTTTTAAATATAAAAATGTTAGGAGTTTTAGCTGGATATTCAGACCACTTTTTTTTTTTTACATAGGGTTGTTAGTTAAGAGATTAATAATTAATGAAGTGTGTGTCTGACTGACCCTGAAAATATGCATTGAAATGTCAAACTGTCCACAAATCCAACAAGTACCTGAAAATATTGAATCTGGCTTATTTGATCAAATATTTACAAACCTGAATGTTGAACTGGGTTGAYCATTTCTGCGGTAAAATCAGCGTGTAGCTACTGTAGAAGCTGTTTAATTTTTTTGGTTTTGAGTTTGCTTTAAYAAAAAAAGTTCATTAGACGTCCAAATTAAAGTGTTACTTAAGGAGTAATAAAAAAGGCAGGTTACACAAACCTGATCAATCCTGTATGAAGGTTTTTAATGTTTTAAGTCACCGCACGTTGGGCCTCATGCAAGAACCGTTCGTACGCACAGATTTGTTCTTAAAGTGTCCGTACG